TGTGAAATGGGATGTAATAGGGCTTAGTGAGGCTATAGGAGGACCAATGAGGCTTATACAGGGCTACGGAATGGGCACGTCCTCTGCTATTGTTGCTTGACTGACAGAAGAAAACTCGGCATGTGGTTTTTATCTAAAAAATATAGCTGGTAACATAGAGATATACTATAGCATAAATGAAAGGGTGGTGAGTATATCGTAAATAAACTCAATAATAGATACAAGGTGAAGGTGCTACAGGCTTACGCACCTACATTCAGCCATGACGAGGCGCTAGTTGAAAGCGCTTATGAGGACGTGGAATCGGCAATGATTAAGGTAAAAACACAGTATACTATACCGATGGGTGACTTCAATGCTAAGGTAGCAAAGAAGGAGCCTGGAGACCATGCAGTAGGAGATTATGGCATCAGTACTAAAAATGCCAGAGGGGAGTTATTAGTTGAATTCGCAGAACGCATTAGTTTACGGATCTTGAACACCTTCTACTGAAAACGACGGAACCGTAATTGGGCAAGAGAATGAACAAACTGTGATAAGTTATCGGTCGCCCACCGCAGCAAGCGATGGGCCGTGTTAATAGGCTTGGAGCAACGTATTGCTGTAAAAAAATGCCCTACCAAAATCGTTGCTTCAGTGCCCCTAAAATACATAATTCAGTAAACTATTATTGTGCTCAACCATACCATAGTTAGGTATCAGAATATTTTTGTATGACGTCATCACGGGCAGTGAATGTACCAGTTTTACCGACTTGATTACAAGTGAGGTCTTCACTTTAGATGTGGTTCTCTGCTGTTAAAACAGCAGAAAACGAAACACGGAGAGGCAGACGCATTGTATAGCTCGCTGCCAGCAGCTTTGATTAATTGTGAAAATAACCTTCTGTGCCTTGAAAGGGGGTAAACAGGCGAAGGATGGTCGAGCTTGACGTTTAAAACATATATTCTTCTGGTGTACTCATGTTACCTATTGCTAAAACATTCTTATAGTCTGTATACCGGAGTTCTCAGTGCCAAACTGTGGATTGAACGGGACACCAAAAAATGTATATTTGGTTTTGTCTTATATATGCTCTATCGGTGCTCATTTGCCGTTGGTAGGTATATTATCTGAAGAAATATGGAAAGAGTTTTGTTTTAATTCGGAACATAGCACGCCAGTGTAATGTACCTACGAGCTATACTTTTTCTAGTAAACTGTAAACCTACATTCAAAGTGTTGTAATGCAGGAAACTAAATTTGTTTTGTAGCAGAGTAAATGACTAATACTGGTGATAATTTTTTGTTACTGCCCTGCTGTCGCAATGTTGGCTATGCTCTATTAAATGACACATTTGTCAGCTTTTCTGAAAATAAAACCGGGTACATGTATGCGTAAATATGTATTTGAACAGAGAATGTTTAAACGGGCAAGGGGCATAGCTTCAGCTGTAAACGAGCTATGTAGCTTTACCGCCACCATCAACTTTATAGCAGTTGAGTCAATAACTGGTTTCTTTCTTTCACATAAACACGTTTTTTAAATATGGTTATAGAATCAACAGGTCCGTTTCTGTTATGTAGATGGTACCAATCAAGCAGCACGGAAAGTTTGGAAAAGCAACATAGAAAAACATTCTTTGACTGTGAGCCCCGCAGCGGTGGTCTAGTGGCTGAGGTTCTCGGCTGCTGACCCGTAGAACGCGGTTTCGTATCTCGGTGTCGGCGGCTGAATTTTCGATGGAGGTGAAAATGCTGTAGGCATGTGTGTTCAGATTTGGGTGCACGTTAGAGAACCACAGTTGGTAAAATTTCCGGAGCCCTTCTCTACAGCGTCTCTCATAATCATATATGGTGGTTTCAGCATATTAAACCCCACGTAATATTTTTTTTATTGTAGCCGCATGCAACGGGCTAAACATATACATATATTTGGAATACCACCCCCCGTTTTATATCTTAAAAATGTACACAAGTATATTTAGAACATTTAGAACTTTTTAACGGCTAGAACATGTATTCAGAACACCATACACAGAGGGATATGATAAAAAAAGTCAACTCACTCGAGTAAGCGACACATACAGCTGCACCAGCCACTGATCACGTAAAATGACAGATGACCTAGAGATAGGAGAGGTGATGCTGATATCGAAAGATAGTCAGGTAGCAGCAATGACAAAACAATACTGTCATCTGCGTAAAGTATTAGTAATAAGATCTGCGGTCATTTTTTCCTCATTAAAGTCATATTTCATGCGGATAAGTAGAGCCTGAAATTTTCGAATATTTTTTTGTCTGCACCCACAAAATAAAGCGATCAGTGTGGTATATTTGATTCCAATTAGAAAACAGAACGGAAAAGTCGTACTTACTCACATCCAACGTACGTTGAGACCAATTCTGCGACAAATTTTAGCCGACAAAGATACAACTGTTTGAACGGAGGCAAGCTAGTATACAGCAGCCACTGGAGCATTGAAGTTATTTTGGTTTAACTGCAGGCTGAAATATGGTATTGACTCAATAATCAAGGTAACACTTTGTCAACAACTTTTAATGAAATGCAAAATTATAAAGCAGTTTTTGCAACTTTACATCATGATGAATGTAATGGTGAAAATAGTAAATGGATGACACTGTTGGTTCGGGAAAATTTGAGTTTTGAGCACAAGCTTCCTCATCATGTGAAGAAAATAGCGTCGTTAGACCCGTAAGTCAGGGGCTACATGCATAAGGATAATTCGGGGGTGAAAACAAAAAGAGTTACCTCTCATCGTTTGAACTTCCTGTTTATTCGAAAATTTTTGTCTGGTCATTTGGCAACTGTAAGAAAAATATTCGTCATTTCGAATATGCACTATTTGATACGACTAAAAACAAGCCTTATTGAAAGTTTTCGTAATTTCGCATAGTCCTAGCAAGGTTCATGGCGGTGTCCACCGTGGCAGTTTAGCGTTTATGGGGCTCGACAGCTGACCCGAAGTTGTTAGAGGTGATATAAGTCATCTAGAATCCTTAAGGGTGTAATTTTGTTTTACCGTACACGCGCTGAAGACAACCAAACTTAAAATATGAAGAGATAAAACAGGCCCGAAATTTAAAAAAAATCATGAAAAATACTGTATTTTCTCGCTGACTTCACAATGTTTTTTTTGTTGTTGTTGAGGCTGGTATCTTCATAGGATTTAGAACATCGTTCGGGTCAGAAAGGTTGACAAACTCACTCTGACTGAGATCAAGTCTGAGTTCGAGCGATTAATATGTTGGTGAGTCAGAGTCAGAGTGAGTATGGATGAGGAAATAGTCGGAAGTCTGAGTCCGAAAGAGTCCGGTTGAGGTAAATATTGGAGTCTTACTTCAAGTTAGCCCTAAAAGCAACATATATTTGGTGAGTGCATTTGTTTGATCTTCGCCATCAATTGCAGAAGTTTGGCCCTATCTACTGATCTTCAGCATTACTATCAACGTTATATTGGCTTACGTTCGTGCTCAAGTCTTTTCAGATATTTCAAGAATGTGCTAACTCATAGTTGTTGATCAGAGGCGTGACTTGAGGAGGGGTGAAAGGCCTGACATTCCTACACAAACTTTTTCTGACGAGGTTCTTGATAAATATATCTCTTGCGAGCCGCGTATTTCATATTATGTCTTTACTACATTGAAGTCATTCATAACTCGTAGTCGAACATGTACAAGATATAAACGCAAGCATAGAGCACCCATTACGTGAGGTACTGGCGTTGAAGAACATTGACACCAAGGCTAAAACAAATAATTTTACGCCAACAGACTCATGAGTAAACTCATTCACGCTCACTCGGGCTCAGGTGAAAACATGAGTCTGAGTCTGAGTGAGTCCAGAGGTAGAAAATTTTGGAGAGTCTGAGTCCCAGTCAGTAATCACAGGGAAATATATTTCTTGAGTGAGTCTGAGTGAGCTTATTTCCTTTGCCAACCTATCCGGGTAATTTAAAATGGTAAATTATGTATATTTCTCTTAGGGGAATTAGGTGGGTATGTAAAATACGAGAATCCAATTTATACAAGCGAAGACCCTATCGCACCTAGGGAATATGAAGAAGCTGCCTCTAGTAATTATTGCACCGTCGCAAAAATAAACTCCTCATTTAGGCTGTAACTGTAAGCAAGCGCAGCCCACACACACATGAATTGATGGCTGATATAATGGCACTCACTCATTCTGGACGTCTCAAAAGAATGTCTTTATTGCGTACTTACGTGTTTCCATTTTGGTTTCAGTGCTGAATCTGTGTGAATTTCGTTATTTTGCTAGAGGCTGCCTTGCTGAAATTTCACAACTGTAGCAAATATTCAGATTAAACGACTTGAATTTCGCCCCCTTAATATCACCACCTCTAAGTTCATTATTTAAAACTTTGGATAATTTACCTTGCTTCACGGCTGCCTCAAGTTATGCCTTAAACTATTTTAGCATGCCTGCTGCTACAGAATTATCGGACACGTTATCACAATTTCCCTCGTATCTGAAAACTTTAGACACACTTCTCCGCATTCTCGCGAAACGTGCTTAACGCGAACAATGCACGTTGCCAGTAGGTGGGGCCGAATTTTCAATGCAAATATTTGTTCTAAGTTCACATTCCTCATTACGACGCCTCTTTCATTAATTGTTTGAAGTAACCTGTAGCCATAAGTTTCTCTTGTGAAGCAAGTCTAGCATAGCAAGTAGTGTCTCTTTTTGTGTGTGTGGTTACGGGGTGCCCAGAAAGCCTAACGGGATGCAATGCAGCACACAGTCTACATGAAGACGAGTGGCTCTACGCAATACCGAGAGGAAGCGCATAGCAAGGAGCCGTAAGGCGGACACCTCGCCCTACCCTAGCTGCGTCTGTCCGGAGCGAAAAGATAGACCTGCATTTCAACAAGTCGTATCGTGGTGGATATCCTCCGACAGGATGGCAGGAGGCTGCAGACGATAGCCGCCTTGCTCCAGGAAGCACGCTACTCCCCCGCCAGGAACATGGCCAGCGCTCATTGCCGCGATAACACGTGGTACGAGTCAGCTTTCACCGACGGTAAGGTATAAATAAGCGCGGCCGTCTGTTGTTAAGTTATCACTCTCACTTCGTTGTGTCTACCGTGCCGGCGTTGTAACCACTCAGCCTTCGACCAAGATGCTGTCCTTCGTAAGTTGATTTCATTATTACGAAAAGGTCTACTTGTGACACCAGTTCATTAAAAATATTATTAGTGTATTTCGCACTAATGAATTTTTAAAAGTAAGTACAAGTGCTTAGTCAGCATTATTCACATCCAGAATATCGGCACATTTCGTTTTTCAACGAGTCTTTATTGGTGAGCCTTTAAAATGTACCTTACTGCAAATTTGATCAAAATTAGCAAGTTTATAAAAGTCGATCCTAATTGTTCCAGCATTTACCTGGATCATATAAAGATGCAAGACTCAGCGAGTTGGGAAAACTTGATATATATACCAGCGCAAGAGGCGGAATTTTAAGAAAAGGCGACTGCAGGACAAGTCACTGAAGTCCTATAGTCCAGCTCTTTGCCCTGTGGACTTCTTTGTCTTGTGCTTGTGTTTTTTTTTTCATTGATATATGAAGATGAATTATAATGCTCCCAAAATTTCCTTTTTTTTACTTTCGTTCAGCACGTATCAGGTATTACCTGCCTGCTAAGTGCTGTTTTTGTGTTTGTAATCTTGGCTCGCCTTGTCCGCAGAAAATTAAAAAATGCTGTCTTGAGAAGTCATTGAAGATGAAGGCGGTGAAGCCATCGGATAAACTTTTAAGAGCAACAGACTTCCACAAGTGAATGTAGACTAGAATTATGTCGTATACCACACGAGACTGAACGACTGCGACGTCCTGCATTTGCTCCCTCTCTCTTTCTCTCTCTTTACGCTTGTAACTTTGAAACTATCTCCTCCCTTGTTTCAGTGTTAGCGATTATCTAAAGTGATTCGCAAAGCTGTCTTCCTTATATTTATTGTTATTTTTTGTCGTTGTCCTGCTGTGTGTTACAAGAATTACGCTGTTCGTTAGGTCTGAGCTGAATTAGGAACTTCAGCTTATGGACCCATTCCATGTTTGTAAACACAGGTAGGCCGATGTTAACTATATGGGTAAAATTACAGCGACGTCCACACGTAACTTCCGCCATAAGCACTGTGGGCTGTGGTGTGTGTGAACAAAACGACGTTGTGGGACGCCATAAGCGTTGTGAAAGCCATAAGCGCTGAGAGCTGTGATGTGCGCCAACAAACAAAACTAAGTTGGGAGACGCGACTCACATCCAACCGCAATGCAGCTCATCGGCATACCGTTTTTTTTTTTTTCCTCGTTGCTTGACCGAGAACACCACACGCACCATTGAAAACCCAGCAGAAACTGCGGTAGTCAGAGCGTCTTTTGCCTACCAAGACAGCGTCACCGCGTTCTTGTGACGTAAGTCCGGTGCAATTTGTCTATACATGAATCATGGCATATTTTGGTTAACTTCCCATAGGCTCATACAGCGGCTTCTTCATTGAAGTTGCCCGTTGCCATTTATGGGAAACTTCAAAAATCATTTCCTTTGATAAAAAAGTATGACAAACGTTTTCGTGTCAGATAAAATATTTCTTTGCATTCGATTGCGTCATAAAGCTGATTTTTATTGGTGCACAACGTGATGTGAAGTGTACCCCAGTATGGACAAATATGAGGATTTTCTCAAATTAGCAGTTTTTCCTGCAAGGCCTATAAACTACGGTAGCCTGAAAATATATTTGCCGGAAAGTAAACCTTTCGATGAGTAATGATTATTCAGATAATCATGCGCCGTGCGGTATAAAGAGAGAAAAATTACATAGGAGATCTTTGCAAAATTTATGGAGGCATATATGGCAAAACATTGCAGTAATATAGTACTGAGAGTCGAATACCATGCACAAACGCTTTTGTGTAATATGTAAATTTGAATTCAAAATAGAATCAATGTTCTCATAGGTACTTTTTTTTTTACAAATGCCACTCAGACAACACTCTGCGGAATTCAGAGGTCTTCCACGTGACTGAAATATTTTGTATCTGAAATATTTCAGCAATTTACTGATTTTCATGAAAGAGACCAGAAGATTTTGTTTTGATCAAGTCGTGAGGGTCGCAAAAATGGCTGGGGTGTTTGGCATAAAACGACCAACCCACTACTCACTCTTTCTGCGCCGTCATTGGCGACTAGGGGACCTAAAATTGACTAAAAACGACAGGAGTTCCCACATGCTGATTCAAACAATCGCCACAACCATTATAAATTGGCGCCTCCTCCAACTGACAGAGCACGTTAATGAAATAAACCAGCATCCTATTTCTACACTTCTAATTGAATCAAGATTGCCGCCGCTTTGCTAAAAATTTAGCTGTTAGTGACTGATCAAAAACAGTCGCTTTTTAACCAAAGGAAACATCAGCGACCTAGTCTGTCGTTGTGACTAGTCACTGGTGCCAGCTGCCGGTGAATAATAAAAACAATGTCTGGGATTTAGGTTTCCAATACCCCTATATGATTATTAAAAACACTCTGGTGGGCAGCTCCAGAAATGTGGAACATCTGTTGTTTTTGAACGTGCACTGACATCCCAGCACATGGGTCCCTAGAATTTCGCCTCCGTCAAATTGCGACCGCTGACGCCCGGCTTAAAGCCATGACTTTCAGGTCAGCAGCCGAGCATCGTAACTGTTTCACGACGATGGCTGACTAGTCGCAAGTTATAATTATCATTATTTACTGGAGTCGAAACCTTCCTATTAATTCAGAAAAAGACAACGACTGAGCCCTATACTTGGTATTCTGTTTATAATAATCAAACTTTAAACGTAGGAACATAGTAGATTTTTCTGAGGCACCATTTTTGATGCACTGACGTCATTGATCTCTCAACATTTCTCATGTGATAAGCTGCCACAAATTAAAGACCATCAGTGCGAGTAAAATCTAGCTTTTAAAAAAGTAGGAAGCGAGATTGCGCACTATATCTTACTTCTGTGAAGCTGTAACTCTCCTTTTTTTATGACTCGGCGATCTATTATACTCCTGTGTACAAGCAGTGTTCACTTTTCCTCGCCTTATTTCAGTCTGTTCAGCCACCCAGAACAGAGAACAGAGACTTAAGAACAAAGACCTAACGTGCAAAGATGTCGCTGAACTTAGAATGGGACAGTTCGAACAAAGTGTAGCTGCTCTTTAATGTTGTTTTCATGAAGATTTCCATTCTCCACGTTCACCTCGTATCACGCGACCTTTCAACAATAGCAACGAATTTGCATGCTTTTAGTTGGACCCACTGGCATCCCACTTAGTATCATAACTTCAAAAACTAATCATGCAGGTCCTCGTTCTTCTGGGCGTGAGCGCCTGTTTCGCCGGAGACGTCCTTTTGGGCGGGGCTGGCTACGGCGCAGGTGCTGGCTTGGGCACCGGCCTGGGAGTCGGTGGAGTATATCCCGTGGGTGGTGGCTTTGGCGCCGGCTACAACCAGCAGGCTGGCGCATCGCAGGGTGGATTCAGCGCCGGGGCATCGGGGTACAACCAGGGAAGCGGAGCATTCGACAAGGGTAATGCTTACAAGAACGTCCAGGGATACAGTAACCAGGCTGGCCACCGCAACAGCCAGGGCTTCTCTGAGTCCTCGAGCAACCGTTACGGTAGCGGTTTCGGTCAGGGCAGTGCTGGCTTCAACCAGGGTGCGTCCGGTGCCCAGGGATCTTTCGGAAAGCAGGGATACGGCAGCAGTGGCTTCGGCGGCTACAGCGGCTAAGCTTTTATAACGTCAAGGTTTCAACATCAGCCCACCAACCCAAGTGAACAAACTAGTCTCGGGCAGAGAAGACACTGCTAATGTATGAAAGAACCCCTGGTTAAACAGGATCGACGACGACTGTAAATGTTATGTAGGCAGAATATGAAAAATAAATTTTATTCACAGTTGGTCCACTTTGTAATTGAATTCAGTGACTTTAGGCCTCTTCTTGAATTATTCGATCACGCATGCAGAATGTTGTCTGCTGACGAGAGAACGGTAAGCTTTTGTTATATTTGAATAGATGTGTTTTACGTAAGGTCTTACTGTAGTCCAGGAAGCAGTGAATTGTAACCATATCCTGAGCACCATGCACCAGCTGTCGCTAATGCACCTGGTCGATATATTATAAGTATTGCTTGCTCTGTGATCCATTTCATTATCATACACAACTCACGTCAAAGTAATAAGAAATGACGTGGATGAAGGACTACTTAGTGTCTCGAGAAAGTGCAGAAAAGAAATCGATTGTGATGCGCACCTCATTCTACAAGGTCGAAGGGTAAAAGTAGGGTTGTAACAAACATCCTTATTAGAGCAGGGCATAGTTTGTTTGCAGTGCGTACTTCTATTCCTATCCGTGACTTTGGTGCTCATGCTGAAACACCCCTTGCATTTTCTGAACTTAATGGTCGTCGGTGTGATATTACAACGGCTCTGTGTTCTCGGAGTTTTTTTCTTGAATTTTGGAGGGTGTTTTTGAGACTTTATCATTTTGAAGGTAAAGCCACGCATATTCTATTTATTCCTCCTAAATCTGAAATTCTCTTAAGTTCGGTGTTTAATTTTGCCTTACAAGTTGCTTCTATGTCTTCTTGTAAATTAATAATTGCACCTTGCATTACTGCCGACAATCTTGTTTCGCCATCCTTTCATTTTTTTTACTTGCTTTTTGCTTACTCTGTAAATAAGGCAATTGATGTGCAATGCTCAAAACTAGCCAAATGGTACCTTCTGAGGACAGAAGCCAGTCAAGAACCTTATCATCTTTTTCTTCCAGCCTACCTTACCTTGATGAAAAATAATGATCTGTTACTCTTATTATCCTAAATACTTCGAACGGTTAGATGAAATTGCATTTAAATAAATATGCATGCGAAAAACTCTAAAGTCTATTTTAGGTGTCTAGAAGGTGTGTACGCTCAGAACAATATGCATACTTGCACAAATAGTTAATTACAGGGCACCTGACGCTTGTTCGTATTAGCCTAAACGCTTGCTCTTAAATGCAAGCATACTTTCCGAGGTTACTGCCACCGATGGAGATGCTTTCTGTCCTATTCGTAATTATCAGCTTTAAAAAGACCCTTACGACGTTGACAAGTACTGAAGATATGTCCAGTTGGTGCATTTTAATATCTTATTTCTATAGCTCAGATAAGTTTGAGCATGAAGAAAGATGCACCAGTAAAGAAAAAAACACACATAGTAAAACATTTAAAATGCCCTCGAAATTCCAGATAGCCCTGCACCACCTCACCGAATTTCAAGTTTTACTATTCCACGTTGGAACAGACAGCCCCGCCGCGGTGGTCTAGGGGCTAAAGTGCTCGGCTGCTGACGTGCAGGTCGTGGGATCAAAAATTGGTGGCGGCGGCTGCATTTTAGATGGAGGCGAAAATGCTGTAGGCCCATGTGCTCAGGTTTGCATGCACGTTAAACAACGCCAGGTGGTCAAAATTTCTGTAGCCTCCCACTACGACATCTCTCATATTTATATGGTAGTTTGGGGACGTTAAACCCCACATATCAACCGGCCAAGAATACCTGCCCACGGCATCATGGACCTCTTGGGTTGCCCGAAGCTGACGGTGACGATCAGTGTTTTTGATAGCGAAATAAATGTCCTCTCTTGAGATGATTTACGCCTTGGGCATGCGGAGGGGGACATTTTCATATTATGTTCTCAAATGTGGAAATACAGCTACAGTACGAGCACTCAGTCGATATATCCTTACAAATTGAAACATCTGCTGGACAGGGGTGAAATCAGGTCTTTGGAAGCGGAGCGTGATTTCTTGCCCTCTGGCAAGACGCGAATTGGGGGGGGGGGAAGATCCGTATGACTCAAATGATAATGTGAGGTGGCTTTACTGTACGTATACAAGACGTCCAGCGACTCTCGATCAGCCGCATCCCCATCCACTGCATTGGCCCCGGGCGGGACGAAGTGGTGCAACAAGCCAGAACCATGAAGCCCGGCGCCGAATACTAGTCCTCGCTGTCGGACATGGGCCGATTTGTTGGAGGTGATGCCGCTGATTGTGGGGCAATAATGCGTTGGGAACCGAACGATTTCATGTGAAGCGATGGTATTACCTTTGAGAATCCAAGCAAGAAGCTTGAACACAAAATCTCTATCGGTGGGACATTTTTCAGCGCACCTTGAAAAAGGACTTCCCTATCACGCCATACAGTACCAGATCTTCAGCTGCAGGAAATGAATATGGTGCGTCTGATGACATGTTTATGTTGCTTGTGCTTCACAGTGTGTAGCTAAGAAGAATGGCTGAGTGTCACGTAGATGTGTTGCTCGATCTTCGCAGGAATACTTCACAGAAAGTATTTATTTATTATTTATTTTATTTTTACATACTGCCAGTCCCAATGAGGATATTGCAGGGGGGCAAACAAAATACACAAAAATACATATACAAACAAATACTCAATAGATACACTTGCACTTACAAGCGAGAATTCGTGACAACAGATATTCTAAAATGATACATGAAGAGTATAAAAGCACAACCTATGTCTGGCAGATATACACAAACATATTATATTACCTAATCCACTGATAACAGTGACATTTCAAGATGCACCAAGAACTGTACAAGCGAGAAGAAGCATAAAAATGAAAAAAACATAATTTCAGCTATGAGTGTCACGAATGTGGTTTTCAAGTAAAGTTAAGAAAGTCTTCAAATTTTTAGTGTTAGTCCGACAAGTGGGCAATCTATTCTGATGGGGCGTGTACGATTCTAGGGACGATGAGCCCAATGGGTATCACTAATAAACGAATTGACTGTGATGAGGCATTTTTAAATAAAACCAGTCACAGCCAGACTGATGTCTTTAGCGACGAAGCTCTTCAGGCTCGCATGATGTCCATTGTCGCCGTTGTCGTCGTAGGTCTCCGTCGGACCGAAACACTGCTGTTACGAATACTGTACATGGACCGTCGCGCAAATGGTTTAAAAGTAGACCTCTGTCCTTTCTCCTGTTTATCTGTCCGTCCATCCGTCCACCTATCCATGCATCCATGCGTCCATCCATCTGTTCATCACTCCGTGCACCCATCTGTTCATACGTGCAAGCTTGCGTGTGTTCATTCATCTATCCGTAAATTTGTTCGTCCTCTTTACTAGTCGGTGACTTCAACGTATACTTTACGAACATTTGGAAGTATCTTCCTTTCATCATCAGCACTAAATTCATGGATCAGCAGTCATTTTTTAGACTTCTTATTAAGTACTTGTCATTTTCTGTACATGCAAAGATAGCTTTGAAAGCCCTGTAGCCGAGCCAACCCACGCTGCGGATTGAGGAGTCGTTGGTTCGACTCCCGGTAACGGAACTTTTTATTGCAGTCATTTGCCATGTGCTAGTGTTGATTTCGCGCATATCCCTGATGTAAATACATCAGTGGTGCAGTGCTGGACACCGGAATAAAAAAAGTATCGTCTTTCAAAAATCAGTAGGTCTAGAAACACCCACGCCTATAGCTTCGCTTGCCCCATTTCCACGATAGGATAAGAGCCCCCGAAGTTCATTTCTTTTTTTCTATGCTAATAATCATATAGGCCCCACCTATTATGCATTGAAAGAATTGCTTATGCTTCCGGCAGAACTTCTCCCACAGTGTGAAAGGTCTAAAATAATCAAATATTTTCAGTTGGCTGTGTAGAACACATCCCACAAGCCTAGACAACTCATCTACAAAGGAAACATCGCATAAACAACACATGCAGTGATCCGCACGAGACATCCAAGGATCAGGTACACCAGAAAATACAGCCACGTTAGAGTAAAGTTTTGTCGTGAGAAGAGTGGTACTTATCTTACTGAAAAATTAAAGCTGCGTGGTCCGGCGCACTAATTCATCCTGCCTCCATTTACGTTCATTGTGACTAGGCACGCAAGAGTTTATGATGATTCAGACGATAATCTTACCTTAAAGAGATATTATTTTGTAATGGAAAAAATTTAATTCTTACACAGTATTCAAGATAACCTTTCCCTTCGTCCTACTTAGGTAGTAATTTTAACAAGCTTTTTGCCAGAAAACAAGCAAAATAATTTATTCTGGTTTTTTCTAGATGCGAAGCAACTTATCTTAGTGGCTGTGTCATTTTCCCTGCGCGTCCAACCCACCCCCACGGATCATGCGCCCCTCTCTCTCTTTCTCCCCTCATACGATCCCACCGCTCCTCTGCAGCCAGCATCTGCTAGCCAAAGTAGTTTAAAAAAAGACTTCTAGAGTGGAAATTCTGTTTCGAAAGTGAAGCCAGACTGCCGCCATCTTACTCCAAGCACAATTAGACGCTAGCAAAGAGCACAAAAAAACACAGCGTTCGCTTGTGTTTTGAATAGTGGTAATTTACTCACACACATATCTAAAAAAAACGCGTGTTGATGGAACTGCACTAAGAAGCCTGAGGTGCGGCCTCACCGGTAACCACCGCCGGGAACGCACTCCCTCACCAGAGAAGGATTGGCCACCCTGGTGCAGTACATGGCCACTACCTCCCACTTGCATACGCCAAATAACTCACGGCCCTCAGTCCTCAGCAGCTGCGAAGCAACTGACTACGGTGGCGGTCAGATCTGCAACGCAGCCGAGGGTGCTAAGAATCTCTGGACTACAGGCCGCCATTGGAACCTGAACTTGGCAACGTTTAACGCTAGAACCTTATCTAGTGAGGGAAGCCTAGCTGTACTATTCGAGGAGCTAGAGGGTGTTAAATGGGATATAGTAGGGCTCAGTGAGGTTAGGAGGACAGATGAGACCTATACGGTGCTACAGAATGGGCACGTCCTTTGCTATCGGGGCTTGGCAGACAGAAGAGAACTCGGAGTGGGGTTCCTAATTCACAGAAACATAGCTGGAAACATAGAGGAATATTATAGCATTAATG